TCTATTAAATATTTTCCCCTGAAACCTCGACGTTTTTCGCTCCCATTCTCACCTCAGTGTGCCTCCTCTCAAAATGAAAAGCAATCATTCGCACAATTAGAAATCGTACTTAATATCAAATTGTTTGCAATTACAAAGCATTTTAGTGCGGAGACCGGAGGACACAGACAATAATGGAACGACACATGAGGCCAACAGCACTCACACTCACACAGGCACACACAAATTGCACCCTTTTGGCCAACTTCGACCACAGCAACAATAACAGCAATAACAACGATAACAGAGTGCGGCAACACAAGACACAAGAGACAAGAGACAGCAACTGAGCTCGGTTTGGGCCAAGTCGAGCGGAGGAGGCATTTGCCATCGAGTGAATTTGACTTAAAAATGGGCAAAAAATTGCGGCAATTAAAGTGGCAAATTGTCTCGAAGAGGCAACGTTCGAACGGTTCTCTGACATTGTCATGGAAAGCCTCCTCCATCTCCCTTACTATCATTTCCCATTTCCCTTACTGGCCTTACTGTTTTCACATTGTGAAATGGAGCCTTAAATGAGTTTTCAGTTGACTTCGTCGTATGGGATGTCTTTGGTCTCATCTCTCCTCTCAGTTTTGATTGAAACAGGGTCATTAATGGGCAGAAGAAGAAAGATAAATACAAAAATAAAATGCAGCGCATTTACCAGCATTATTTATATGGCCATCTCCCACTTAGTTTTGGGCCAATAAAAGAACTCTTTGACATCGAGAATTTATGCATTCGGGGCCGAATCATTCGAACCATTCCCACAGATTACCCATTTTGCATTTGCCGAGGACAACTCTTTTGCGGGCTCTCTTTATCTGCAAACCAACTTGGGGTTGATTTTTATGTGCATCGCAAGAGCCCAGATAAGCCCTGAAATATGGCCAGAAATGGCCTGGTCAATGTCTTAAACGGAGTCCAATCGAAGGCAAGTCGCAGCTGCAGCTTCTGCTGCTTTTGCCTTCGACTATCGGCCACCGAATCTCAATTAACATAATTCACCTAGACCCGAGGTGGAATGGCATTCCCGCTCATAAACTAACAGTTTCGGTCGGAATTGTCGCTCCCAGATAGCAGCTCCAGTTTCCCTAAACAGCAGAGTCCCGGGTCAGAGTCCCGGACATGGGTTCAGCACGGGAAACCCAAGAGGGAGCTGGCTCATCTGCCACACTGGGGGAAAAGTCTGACACTGAAATGCTTAGAGTATATGCAGGGTAAGTAACTGGGCTCATTTCTTCAGTAAATCTAGTGAGATACTCCCTGTTTCTCCCACTGTAAGAGCTAGAGAACTCGCTCATTGTCAAAGTGGAAATTGTGTTCATAAATCAGAAACTGTCGCACATGTGTGACACCCCGAAAACCTCCGGATTCCCAGTCCCCTCACCGCCTGTTTATTGTGTTGTCAATTTGCTGCGCTCGTTGGCTTTCTGGCTGCGATGGCGTAATTAGATTTCGGCCTGGTCTAGTCGAGGTGGTTTCGGTTTGACTATGGCTTTGTCGTTGGGTCTGGGCCCCGGCCAGGCGGCCAGGATGGATGGATGGGGCTGCAGGATGGGCTGATGGGAAGCAAACCGCGAAAACGGGAAGTGTCCGACAATTAAGGCAGCTGCAGGAGTAGCTGCTCTGGCTCCAGATCCTGATCTGGCGAATGAAGGAAGCTGCAAGCGAGTCAATTAAAACGTTCAATGCGATCATATCTCCATCGATGGCAATTTCCTCAAAACCAAATGACCAACTGTCCAAGTTTTACACTGCGCGCCAGTCGAACAATTTGAGTGGCAATTAACTGGCAGGCTTGGTCATTGTCAAAACTGGAACATCCAATGGCATCCATCGCACACATTTGGCCAACAATTGTTGCCCCTGATCCGGGCTCGAAGTCACTTTGTTACTTGGTTAAACTTCCGCACCATGGATCTGCAGTCTGGAGATGGAGCTGGGAGCTGGGAGCTGGGAGCCGGGAGCTGGGAACTGGGAGCCGGTGACGACGATGACTGCATCCGCAATGCAACTTTCTGTGTGAGATTTCCGCCTATTGCAGCTGCAATTACCGACGCATCTGGTGGCCCACAGAGGGGTTCCTCAGTGGGGGAGCGGCTGAGCTCCTCCTCCTCTTCTCCGACGACTTCTCTGGCGCATCTTCGGGTGTCTGAATTTATTACGAGATGAGTCTTCACCGCGATTACAGCAATTATGTGGCTTTTGGAAGGAGGTTGGCACATTGCCCAAGGAATCAAGCAGAGATGGAATTGGTAAACGAGTTAAAAAGGGGTTTTTGAAATATAAAAACTAAGCAGGATTAGTAAAATATAAACATTAAGAATTGTTATTTATTATAGAAACCATTTAGAATGGTTTGCAAGCCTTCCACTTGTTTTATTTTTTTAATTTTATAAATAAAATAAGAAAAGCTTCCCTAAGAAGACCACAAAAGCTTAAATTTCCATAATTTGATTCATTTTCTTATTTAAAAAAAAACCCCTTTGACACCACCCCTGCCTTGCTTACATGGGCTTCCTCTAATAACTCAATTTCAACACCATTGGACCCGCCTCCTGCCGCCGCCGCAAAACAAATGTGAAAGTGCCAAGACTCTCCTCCTTCTCCTCCGACATACCCCACAATCATGGCCAAAAATCCCCAAATCGGAGCTCAGCATCAGGCCCAAAGTTTGATGCACTCCGCTAGATAGGCCGACCTCTCGGAGCTCTGGTGCCTCACCATGGGCTGCAATAAAATAAAATACAAATAATTTGTCAGCTACTTCGTCAGCGGTGGCGCGTGCGTGACTTGGAAGAGTTGGAGATTCCGAGATTCGGAGATTTGGAGATTCCGAGAGACTTCCCTAGCGCGTGCTGGAGTTGCAATCGCGGTTTCTGCGGCCGAGCGCCTGTTGCATAATATGATAGCTGCAGTTGAACTTTCACATGGCCCAATCATGAGGCAGCGCCCCCCTTCTCTCTCTGCCACTTTGGGGGATAAGTTCTTCCTATAAATCACATAATCATGGCTTATAGGAAATGCGTGGAAATGCATTTCACTAGTTGCCATTAATAAATTAATTATACAACCATGACGGCGGCACTGAGCCCGGCTTTATCCCCATCCGCACGCACACGCTGGTCGTAAAGAAAAACCAAAAAAATGCACAGAGAGATATGCAAGAAAAACTTAAACATTTTTGTCATCAGCAACAGCACAACAGCAACAGCAAATATTGTGCACAAGTTGATGGTCAAAAGTTGGCTGACGCCTGGCCAAAGCCATGGCCAAAAAAGCAGCTCGAAAAGTAGTCAGCAAAAAGTCAAATAGCAAGTGAGTGGAGTAGAGATTTAAGATTTGAGTATACGACAATTAAATGCTCTTAAAAAAGTGTATTTAATATTTTAGAATAATTATTGTAATATAATTAGAGCTTTAACTAGATCAGGAAAGGCCAGAAGTAGACAGGGAACTTAATTACAATTTGAATATTATTTCTTAGTCGAAACCTTTACTGATCTCTCACTTTATATTATGTGGCTATATGTATGAACTTTCTTTTATAATTCATTCCAATTAATACCTTATATTCAATAGATATCTTGAAGACTTAACTTCCCCTTTTCAAGTACCTGCATTATAGTTGATCATTTCCATATTTCCCATTGCCTATGCGAATGCAAATCCATTTCCCTGGACAAATCCCCAATTCGACTTCCTTCTGAGAGCGTGGCAAATTTAATCACTGGCTTATTATGCCCTGCATGTGCAAAAATTCACGAAAAACGACTACGAAATATGAGAAGAGCCAAAAGCAGCCCCCGCCATGGAGACCAGACCAGACCGGGCCAGGCCAAGTCGGCTAAACTGACTCCGGTTGGCAAAAGGAAAATGGAAAAGCGAAATGGCAGCAGCAACAACAAGAATAACAAAAACAAACTGGCTGTCGCCGTGAAAACTGCGAGGCAGCGAACACACACAAAACTCAAGTGGCGCGAAAATTCGAGGCACAGTTGCAGCAGCAGCGCGCAAGCGTGCGGTTTTCCCTCCACAGTTTTTCCAACAGCCAAATGTAAACAAGGCAAAACGAAACGAAACGAAAACTCAACTCAAATTAAAAGTCGCATTAAATAAATGAGAAACGAAACGAAACGAACGAGAGAGCGAGAGGACTGCGACGAGGAGCAAGTTTAAACAAAGCTCAAAGACAAAGTTACAAGTTTTTTCCCCGCAAAGGATATGAGAATATTATTTTCTGCAAAAACTTCCATTACATTTTGTAAAAGTGCTAGCTAACAAGAATATTAAATAACAGTTAATAAATTAAATTAAATGAAAATGAACGAACGGACGTAAAAATAAAACTTAAACCATAAACTATAAAAGAATTGTCTTCAGAATATTAAAATCAAGTGCAACTTTGTTGTTTGGAATATTTTGTGGAAATACTGTCAGAATGTATCAGTTAAAGTTTTAAAAAAATGATTCTTTTGCTAGAAAAAAAGGATTATATATAGTTTATGAAACACTTTTACATAGCTCTATCATGCATCAAAATTCCTTAAAGATTTCAATAAGAATTTTAAGATACATCTTGAGCATTAATCTTAAAAGTTCTTTCCAAAGTTAAGAACATATAGAAAAAATGTGAAGAAATATTATTAGCACTAACACATAATAATAGCAAAGTTAAAGCCCCCACAAACTATTCCAAACTCCAGCTATTAACACACTTAACAAATGCTTTTTGTAAATACTCTTTCAGGCCAAACAAACAATAAAGTTCAACAAACAACAACTCACTTAAAATTGCATTAAAAATACTGAACTTAAGAAAAGTATCGTGGGAGTAAAACCAAGAAAAAAAATTAAACAACAATTACAAATTGAGCTGCCACTTTGGTGGAAACGCGAAGAGTGCAACGTGCCACGTGCAACTTGACGCCTCATTTGGCCGAACTTCCGCCGACGTCCGACATTATCCAAGGAAAATGGCTATCTGCGGCACTGGCCCCACCTTAATGGTAAGTGGAAAAGGGTTCATCATTCTGAAATTTTAATATAAATAACAGACAACAAGGCGGCGAGGCCAACTGAGGCGTGAAAACAACAAGCGCCCGGGAAAAGTCTTCGGGTGAAAATGGCCTGGGAAACTGTCTGGCAGCGGTGCAGCGGCAGGAAATGGGCGATCCAGTCATTCCATATGGCCTGCCACATTTTTTCATCAGTGTGTGTGCTTTTTTGTATTTTTAATTCATTTTATTTCTGTTGTTTTTTGGCACGCACATTTTGCGAATAATTATTTTCGTGTTCGAGGCACTGGCACTTGAACTTCAATTAGCCAGGAAACAGGGGCCAGGCTTTTTGCGGCACTCATTTAATTACCGGCCATAAAATCATAAACCGAATGCGAATATTTCCAATGCGTTCGCTTTGTTTGCCTTTTCCATTGCTCTCTTCCTTTTATTTTTTGGGGAAAATTCGTTACGCAACTGGCATTGATTGTTTCGCTTTGTGTGAAAGCTCTCTTGATTTTATGACCCCGGCACGGGCCCGCTTTATGGTTATCTAACCGAATCGCAGTTGGAATCCATATCCAACTGCCGGACGAAAGGAAAATGCAGCAACATTTGCAATCGAAACTGGAAATTTGCAATTTAAGTGGATGGAAAAAAGTTTGCGGCCATTTCTTGCATTTCTTTTGAGCCGAAGTTTCCTTGTGGCCCAGGAAGTGCCATCCCCTCCTCCGCCACAGTTGCCACAGCCGCCTCCGCCACTGCCAAGTCAAGTCTTTTATGTGCATTGAACTTGACTTTGCCTTGGGTTTTGGCCCTAGAAAAAGACCGAAACTGGTTCTAACTGCCGCCGCTGCAGCTGCAGCCACAATCAGTTGGTAACTTCCACGGCTCCCACTGCCAACAATTAGCCCAAGCTGTGTCTTTTTCGCCTGCTCTACTCCCATTTTTCTCCATGGAGTCTTGGCTGTGACTTGGTCTTGGTCTTGGTGTTGCTCTGGCTCGGCTTCTGGGTCTGGGTCTTGGCCCACACCCCGGGCCAGAGCCACGTTTTTCCGCCTTGTTGCATGCAACAACAGAGGAAGCCGTAAGCGCATATTGCAGCCAACAATTATACAAACTTGTGGCCAAACAGCAATTACAGAAACCATTTAATGAAGCAACCTGCCCAACATGAAAGAAAGCGAAGGAGAACGTTGGGGTTTTTGTTGGGAAAAGGGGAGTACTACTACATATAGTATTGATTGGATGGTCACAATACTTTTTAAAGGAAATCTTTGAGAGTAGCCAAATTAAATCATTCAAGTTTTCAATTTAATTTATATAATTTTTTGATTTCCAACTTCAATACATTTATTAGAAAATAATAAAAGTAAAACATATTGTCAGCCATCTTTGATTAAAGTGCTCTGTCCCATCTATTTGCTTAGAGCAAATAACTAGAACTAGTTATACCCTTGCAACGCAGGGAGGCAGGCATTTTTGATCCTACAAACCTTATATATTATTGATTACCATTACTAGCTAATTTTTTTTTAATTTAATAAGAATTTACATCTTTAAACCTGTAAAATATTTGCCAATTTATCGATTTTTGAAATTTTAAAACTCACTATGCCCAAGAAGCCAAAAATTGACAAAAGTCATGTATATTTTAATTTCCAATTAAAATCTGAATCAATAAAGAATAGTTTTTCATACTTTTGAAAGGCGTAATATTATTAAAATTGTCAATAATTTTTAAAAGTTTTAATATTTTAAATATATAAATACCCAATATGTTTGCTATCCTCATACAAGCCAACACAAAAAAGCTATCTGCAGTAAAATTAAAACATTATTACCTTAATTAAAATCGATACTACATTCAAAGCCATTATCCTTTGACAAACTGAAAGGGTATTCAAGCTACGGTTTCTCGAAGTTAGCTTCATTTCTTATTTTTTATAATTTTTTTACTTTAGAAGGCAATTTTATTGCTCTCAAAAATTGAGAAAACAATAAGTGCATCCTGTACATAGATGTACAATTGTAAAATAGTAATTTAATCAAACTTTAGCTCAGAGTCTCCTCCTCTCTTTTCTCCTTGCAAATATTAAAGTTTCAATTCCAAACAAATGTCAAAACAAATGCAAACTTTTCAAATGCAATGCAGATAGACGAGAATATGTCCTTGGAGTGTACCGATGCCATCGCCTCTTAGCGGATCGTAAAAGAATTGTTAACTAGTTTTCGCAGCACTTTTAAGGCCATAAAATCCGGCAGAGCAAACGGGAACAGAAACGAACGCAAATAGCAACAATTTTTATCGCTCCTTTCTATTGAATTTTAAAACGAATCCAACGCGTGTCCCAACTGAAATGAAAAGACACTTTTCCGGGCGGGAAAATAAACTGAACCAGAGGAGAAGAGTATATCCAGGGAACCCAAAGCCAAAGTGTTAAATAGAAGGCACATAAAATTTTATGCAACCCAACTGTGTGAGCCTGAGGTTGAGGTTATAGGAAACTGGTAGGTGGAGGGGAAAAGTGCACTTCGCAGGTTGCTAGGCCGGCATGTCGGACGGTGTGAATGGTGGAAAACCCAGCCCAACCCAGTCCAGCGGGTGGAAATGGGAGGAAAAACGGCGCCAAAAAGGGGTAGGGCGGCGACAGTCGTTGATGCTGGCAAAGTTCATAAAAATTCACTCAGGCGCAGTTTTAACGGCCGTTAAATGTTTACGCGGTTGCATTTTTAACGACCGTTGACAGTTCATTTGGATTTAGCCTCGATGGGCTTAGTTAAATGGCCAGCAGGCGGTTAAGAGATACGTCCCTTGGCTGCATTGGATTTCAAAATTAAGACATTTTGGCATTAACTTTATGATTGTTTTGGATAAGAGTTAATACCAGTGAATCATTCTTGAAGAAATGAGAAAATTCTGATGGTCATATGTTCGATAATTTTTGGTGTTTCAAGTTCTTGCTATATTTTGTAGATTATTTATAAAATAAAAAAGACCTTGATATATTTTTATAAATCTTTCAGAGTGTTTAATAATTATTTTTGCACCTGTTAAGATATTGTAAATTCACCTCTCAGTTTATTGATTACAAATCAGTACTTGTTAGTTTGTTATTTATTGTTCCAAAACTTAGTTCCTGTTTCAGCTTTAATGTTTAAGGCAAATCCATTGAAATTCCTTCATGACTTTCTTATCGAAGTCCATCGCGAAATGTAAGTTAATGATACAGCTGGTCGCAGCATTGCATCACAACTCGGACCGATCCCAGCACCGTAATTGGCCTTACGTAAAACGAGAGTGCAAGAAAAGCAATTGAAATCGAAAATCGATGAGTTTAATGGCCATAAAAGCCAAGTTCAACATGTTGACGTGAAAGTGGATGCATGAATGAGCCAGGCCAGTCGATCGATCCAACACCCAACTCTGCTCTGCTCCGATCGAAGGAGAATAACTCCACGATGAATGGCGCGTGCGCAACTCGTTTTGTTTTATTTTATTTTATTTATTTATGTTTTCCCCTCCACGGAGAGATGGCAACTCAAATCCAAGCCGAGAATCGAGCTGGCTTTAGCCACATTTGTGGCAGCTTCCGTCCATATGGGGCCCGTTGGAAAGTGAAAGTCGGCAGACGACCAAAAAGCAAGTGGTCCGCTGGACATAAACGGATTATTTATGGGTCTGGGCGGGCGCTCATGTAAACCAAAGTTGGTTCAACCCTCGCAAGTGTCAAATAAATTATTATTTTATTTTTTGCGCGATCAGTGGAGATGTGAGCAATGAGATTGGTTATCAAATGGTTGCGTGTTACCCAAGGATTGCATATTTGAAAGTTTAAATCAAAGAAAACACGCAAAGAAGCAGCTTAAGTTATAAGAATTACAAGTTTTTTCCTATTGCTTTGGGAACTTTTTAAATAAAGTTAAAGGATCTTGTTTAAAATATTATTGATTACTAGTTTATATGCATAGGTATAAGACATTACATTTGGCAGTATTTATTTATATTTCTACTTTCCATTGAGACAGTTCTTCTGCTCACAATATATTTTTCCATTGGAAAACTCCTACAAAACCTATATCTTGCTTTTAGGTCCTCATCCTGGCTGTGCTCCTGGCTGCAAGCCAGGCCACGGATACCTGGCAACGTTTGCCCACTCTGGAAACCTTCTCCACTTATGAGGTACATATTTCATAAAAGGAAACCCCTCTAAGTTTAGTTAATAATATTATATCTTTAATTATTTATAGGACATGCAACGTTACTTCGATCAGCGAAATTTCCGCAGCATGCGGCACATTGACAATCCCACGGACGACAGTTACCTGGCGGCCTTCAATCAGTACAACGAGCAGCTGGAGACTCGGTCACCTGTCCACATCCCATCCCGGGTGAAGCGGGAGCAGCGCCAGCTGCCCACAGCCCCGCGGATGCTGCGCTTCGAACTGTCGGATGCTGTGGAACCGAGTCCGGAACTGAAGAAGATCCTACGGCAGTATCATGCCAGGGCCCTGAAGGAGAGTCCGAGTTCCGCTCCTCAGAGCAGCACCACTCCCTCCACACCAGCTGTTGAAGCCACCCAGGCCACCAAAAGTGTGCGATCCCGGAAGCCACGTCGTCAGCGACGTTCTGTCATTGGTGGTCAACAGCCGGCGGAGTTCAAGGTTCAGATGATTCCCTTTGAGGAGACGGATGCCCGGGAACCGGATCCACTCACAGCCCAGCTGATCAAGAAGGCACGAAGCCTGGATCTGGAGAGTCAAGCCACCAGGTCAGCCAGGCCCCAGGAGACGAGGAAGAAGACATTGCAAGTAAGGATCCGCAAGACGAAGCGCTCCAAGCGCTCCGCTCCGCAGATGATCAAGTTTGAGTTGGCGGACGCCAAGCCCTTGCCCCAGAGATCTGGGAAGCAGTTAATCCCCGAGACTCCCACTCTGCTGACTATGGAAACCCATTCGAAGAACCAAACCCAAGGCCCTCAGGTGACCTCAACCACGCCCAGGATGGAGGACAATGACATCCTTACGGGTGAGGCCACGGCAGAGACCAAGAGAATGTACGTTTACAAGGAGTCACCTCTCAGCTCCGGACATGTAAAGACCAAAAAATCCCTAAGTGCTCTGCCCCACGAAGTTCAGAAGGTCATCGGTCATCTGATGAAGGACGGTCATGGCGGTAAAGCATACGTGAAGTATATGCCTGCCCAGAAGTCCGATTACGAGCACTACAAGGCCAAACCGGTGGCCTACGGCTTGAAGCCTCTAGGTAACTACGTCAAGTATATTCACAAGACAGCGGAACCCTCGACAGCTCCTGCCCCGGCTCCAGCTCCTGCCCAGGTGCACATTCAGCCGGTGCCTGTGGTGGAGCAACTGCGGTATATCTACAAGCCCAACTATGTGGCTCCCGCTCCCACCATTGCCCAGCCCATTGTGGTCCAGGAGGCGGGCCCAGCTCCCACGGTGGCCGTGGAGGAAGTGCACCATACCTACACCGCTGAGCTGGCTCCGCCACCCACCCAATCCCTGGACGTGATTGTACCGCAGTTCAGACCCTCCAAGCCGGATCCCCTGCTGGCCGAATCGCCTGCCATCTACGGAACCCACCAGGAGCAGCAGTATCAGTACGAAGTCCAGCCGGAGGCCTCGCCCCTGATCAAGATCGAGTACCACGCCCCGGCGGACAGCCTTAAGGAGCACTACAAGCAGCTGCCCGAGTTCCAGCAGCTGTCCACTCTCATTGGCAAGTCGCCGGATGACCAGATCCATGGATTGACCTACCTTTTGGCCAAGGAGATGCAGGCTAAGCTTCAAAGGCAGGGCAAGCAACTGGTGGATCGTCCACAGGATAGCACTGCTCCGATCCTTTTCCATCCCGGCCAGGGTGCAGCCCCTGTTCCCACTTTAAAGACTCTGGCAGAGCACGGACACCTGGGCATTCAGCCGGGAAGACTCATCGGCATGGCCAAGACCAAGCAGTATGTGCCCATTATCGAACCCGGCAACAACGATGTGAAGGAGCTGCCCCCGGTGTCTAGCACCAAGCTGCCTACGCCCAGTTCCTACATTGATTATACCCACGGTCATGGCCTGTCCAATGGATACGAGGGTGTGCCGCATATAGAGGAGCCTGAGGTGACCACAGTGGAGCATGTGGTGCACCATCCAACGGTGGCCACACTCCAGCATCAGCATCAGGTTCAGCATCAGATTCAGCCTCAGATTCAGCCCCAGATTCAGCATCACGTGCAGCACCAAATCCAGCACCAACATCCGCACTTGGAACACCCTCAAGAGCACCAACATCATGGACTGGTGGCCACTGTACTGCCAGCGGAACTGGATGCGGACAAGGGCGTGAATGGGCTGCACTTTGTTCACAGCCAGGAGGATAAGTCGGTGAGTAAGGGGTTCGAAGGTTTGGGGGCTTAAGAGGCTTAGAGTTAATTACCCCTGGCATACAATCGAAGGCAGGTGAACTTTCCTAAGGCATAACCTTAAAAAATATATTATATCAGTTTAAGAATTTAATATAAACTAAGTTCTTCTCAAGTTGATATTTAAAGAGGGGGATATATAATATTATATATTGAACCAATACCGTAGAGTTATGCTTTTCAATAACTGCCTTGTACATATGCAGTTCATGAAGTACAGGCCCCACTGTACCCATGAAGAGTGAGCTCCCCGAAATGCATTAAATTAAAGCATACCTTGGGGCGCTCCACAAAAGGCTTAGCACTCCCTGAAAGCGTGCCCCATTGATTGGCATAGGCAAAAACACAATCAACATAAATAAGACGGCCACAAACAAACACGGGAATGGGGTGCAGGACAAGAGCAGGAATATTTCCAGGACGAAGAGAGAACGAGGACCAGGACCAGTTCCAAATGGATATGGGAGCAGACACTCCACTGCGCCGCCAGTCACAACAATGGGAATCCCCAGCCGCCGCCGCCCCCTTTGCAACCCCTCGAATTTCAGCAGTCTCCCCGAGTCACTGGAGTCTGTGTGCAATTCAGTTTGATTGCCGATCCATGTCTCGCCGGTAATGCACTTAATCGAATAATTTTCAAGTTCGACAAGCATTTTCAATGTCGTTAGCCAGAGTCCTTTCCCCCGGCCCCGAATCCGTCCCAGCCTGAGTCTGCTACCTGGCAACGCAGCCACAAAAGCAATGCAAACGACTTCGTCTTTCATTACTATATAGTACTATCCCTTCCGACAGAAGTCTGTGAAGGAACACAGAGAGAAGTGTCTGTGCTTCTTATATTTATTAGAAAAAAGAGTTCAAGTTATAATATTATATTTTTTCTGTACTAGGGAAAGCCTGTTTTAAACTTTTTACTATATGTTTCTCTGCAAGAGTTAAAAATAAGAAGAAAGCATTCTTAAAGCTTTTTTAATGATTATCAAAGGATTAATAATATTTATAAAACACTTGAAGGGCCATTTTTCTCAGTTTTCAGCTTGAAAGTGTTTCTAAAATGTTATCCCCTTACATATCCCCTTGAAATTGTTATTTATAATTTTTTCTAAGAGTGTCAATACGATGCCACTATATTTTTGGGCGCTGTCTGAAGCAATTGATATCTGATACGGGGTATATATACATATATATTCATTTGGCTCACCTCAAACACTTGAAGCGTGTGCCAGGAAAATGCACTCGACTCTACACGAGTCTTGGAATTAACATTTTTCCTTCAACGGCGGAAAAACTTTGCAGGATCCCCTGGTTGGGTTCCTTGCATTTAATTTATCTGTATTTCTTTGGCCAACCGAAAGGTAAGGCGCGCCTTTGTGCGCAGCCAGGCAAAAGGCCACAGAAAAGTATCTTGAAGATGCGAAATGTGCAGTGTGTGTATCTGCGACCAGACAGAAAGGGAAATGTAAAAAAAGGGATGCAGTTGTGGGGAAACTCTGGTTAAATAGAGAGTTTAAGGGAAATCTGATTAAGAATGTAACCAAGAAATCGGTTAAATATTTTCTAGATTTCTTAAAGAAAGCTTTTATAAGCCCAATCCGAGGGGAAAATAGTTCAATTTGACGCCGAAAACCCTTAATTTACTTTTAAATATCAATACATAGCATATACAAATGCGAAAGAACGCATCGCCTCGGTAATTGAGTGCAGATCACACGGTAACAGAACCATCACGGAGCTCAGCAATCGACACCTTACTTCATATCCGGACAAGCCATTTGGTAGACAAATTGAACAAGTGTACGTGTGGGACGTCCGGTCATCCGTTGTTTGGTCAGATAGGGCACCAGGCCGTACTTGGAAATCAGGCCTGTGCCGCGGGTATCCAGATGCGCCCAGTCCACGCAGGGAACCAGCTCGTGAAGGATGGCAGCTGCCAGGCAGGAGGTGGCCAGTCCACGGCCATTGTTGCTCAGGTCGAAGGAGCGCTCGTCGGTGACCTGCCTCTTGTAGTAATGCCACAGGGGCAGGCGCCACACGCGATCCCCAGAGATGGAACCGGCACGCTGGAACTGCTTCCAAATGTAGTGGGAGTTGGAAAAGATTCCGGTGGCACCGCCACCAAATGCCTTCTTCACGCCAGTGTTTAGCGTGGCAATGTCCACCGCCAGACGGGGCAGGTAGGTCTTCTGGCCATAGAGTATCGCGTCCGAGAGCACCACCACTCCGGCCTTGTCCAGATCGCGCACGGCCATCGACTTGCCGTTGAGCAGGGTGACCACGTCGCCTGGCTTGGCCGACATGCCCGACGGCATGTTCTCGCACAGTGGAATGATGCAGGTGACGTTGATGGGCAAGGACAGGGCAGCGATGCATCGCATCATGGCCACGCAGCAGGCGGCGGCAGACATGCTGCCACGGTACTCTTCCATTCCCTTGCACGGCCGCAGGTTCAGGGCTCCAGAGTTGAAGGTGATGCCCTTGCCGACGAAGAGGATGGGCTTGTCATCGGGCGCGGTGCCGCAGTAGCTCAGCTCGAGGAGCACTGGCGGCTCACAGCTGCCCTTGGCGATCATCAGGAAGGCGTTCATCCGCTGGGCCTCAATCCAGTCCATGGTGCGCACCTCGACGGTTATGCCGCAGGGGCACAGGGCGTCCACAGCGTTCTGGGCGAACATGGTGGGGGTCATGCAGTTGGCCGGGGCATCGCTCAGCCGACGGGCAAGATTCTGGGCCTCAGCCTTGAAGATGCCTCTCGTCCAGCCCTCGTGGTCTGCCGAGTCGTGCAGATCAAGTGTGGGAATTGATGGCATGTTCTTTTTGGCCAGGTTATCCGTAAAACGCCAGACAGCCAGCTGAGAGCCCTCGGCCGCCTGTTCCGCGTAATCCATGCCGTCGACTAGCACCTGGGTGACGCCCTGCTCCTGCAGAGCCCGGGCGCCCACTCCGGCAGCCACACGGACAAATTCCATGCCCTCGTCCAGCATCTCTAGTTCGTTAAAGCCAATGCCCTCCAGGCCAACACCCACGACGGCCACCGCTGCGAATTCGGGGTCCAGATTGTGGAAGACCTTGCCGCGACCCAGGCGCCCGTCCAGCTTCGTCTCGCAGATCGCCTTCATCAGCTTACCCTTCACCCTGTTGTCAATGGTCTGGCCGGCGGGCGTGAGTCTGGGATCCTTGTTGCCCTCCTTCTGGTACAGGCCAACGACCACGCCCCTCATCTTCGCCTTCGAGTCGGCGCAGGTAAAACGAACGGGATCGGTGAACAAGGCGCGCGGGTTGCACAGGACCCGCGAGGCAGTCTTCAAGGAGCTCTGGAAGCGCCCCATCTTGTTCATCTTAATTGGTCGATTGTTCACTCCGCAAAACAAGTGTCGACTTTCAAATAATAAACCCAGCGAACGCAACAAACCAACACCGGTAACTTGGGCAAAGATGTCTGTTTCAATTCACACACGAGAATAATTTCTCTACCCTTTTTTAGTTCTTTTTCTCTTTTTAATTTTTTTTAATTTTTTATTTTTTGTTTCAATTAAACCGAAAGTTCATCAAAAGTAACTCGGGTGAATTAGGTTGACCGAGAATTTTTCTGTGGACTTACTAAAACGAAACGATCTGTTCTCTACCGGCGTACGAATAAAATGAACTTCATAACTGACTTGCCTAGAACTATATATTCGGTTATCAGAAGTTGGATTCAAGGAGTACGAGATTTGAGATAATCTACGAAAAAATATTTAGGAAATGGGAAACTTAAACCTACAAATAGGGGAAAATTGGGTGTAGGAAAACCATAAATATATACATTACAATTGTAGTAATAATAAATCTCTGCAGATCAAGATATAATATGTAAATCCAAATACTTAATCGTTTTAAGATTTAAATGTATCTATCTATTGAAAGGATATACTTCTACAATTTATGCTTTTACTAGTTTTATTTTACTGAGTAAAATATAAACTAAATTTGAAAACCTCTCAAATATTATTCTTAGAAACTCACTGATTTCTGTGAATCCTTAAAACACAATCTTTCAAAGCGTTACAATTTTAGATTTCAGGCAAAACTCTTTTATTTCAAACACAAAACTCCATTTTCACAGTCAAAAAATTCATGGAAATCTATAAAAAACGACGTACAAAGGACAACATTCTATGAGATACGACAATACACTGGTATTCCTGTAGCGATTCCCGTCCTCCCTTGTTGTCGCTGCCAATCTACTTAAAATTGTTTTCGAGCTCAGCCAAAAGTATCTCTTATTTTATTTTGCAGCGAACAGCAGCAATTTGATTTGATCCTCGGAAGGGGAACGGAGGCAGGGGTCGTGGGCGAAAAGCTGATTACGTTTTATTTATTGGCGTCACCAAATTGCAACGGAGATATCTTGTGCTGCATCTCTCGACTTTAGCGTTAATGCGCATTAAGCTGGCCAAGAGTGCAGCAGCCAGAGCCAGTAAACAAGGCCAGAAAACTGGATGTGGCTGTGGAGCTACATAGCTGGTGCCGAAACACACATTGTTTTACTGCCGTTTAGCATGATTTTTAATAGGCTTTCGCCTTGTACCCGTCCCAGTGGCTGTGGACTTGTCGTCATCGGACTAAGCCCCATTGCCTGTCGCTCGGTCGGTCTGGTTGTTAAAACCCCAAAATCGCCGCCCGATGGTCATGATGGGCCAGGCATTGTCCTGGTCCTGCTACTGCGACTGCTCCTTCTCTGTCCACCTCCTCCTCCTCCTCCTCGTCGTTGTTCTCTGTCCGTCCGATTCGTCCGCCTCTGACAGGCAAACGACACTTGTTAGGCTCAAGTTAAGGGGTGGCGGGAGGTGGGGGTTAGGCCGCTTTGGGGGTATTTTCCGGAGTCGAGGACCGATGGCCCAGCATGCCGTTGTAATGCCCATCCTGGGACTTGTTTGACGGCATCTGCTGCTCCTTCTAACGTGTGCGGACATGGTCAGATTTTTCGGGCATTTGTCATTTTATTGTGGTCGAAATGGTCGGTAATGGTCGTCACTCAGTCCGTCATGGCCCTTACAGGCGGACTTCCGTGGCCTGAACTTCTGCAAGTCGAATGGAATTAAGTGGTTTTAGCCATTTCACACAATGTGGCTTACATAGCACTAAAAATTAGCATTATTTAAGGTATAAATACAGATGTTCTTTATCATTTAATTTAGGTTTATTTACAAGTTTGCAACAATATATGCCAACATTTACCTATAAAGATAAGTTTGAATGCTTCTCCAAGTAATTTTGGTAAAGAGAAGAGTTATAAATGATTTCCATAAATTATTTTGATAATTGTCCAACCATTTTTCACTCTCTCAATATATATTTTTTAACAATTTAAAGTGAAAATATGAAAAGATTCTGTAGAAGTAGCAACAGAGGTTACTTTACAAAATATTTAATATGAAATCAAACTTTATAATGAGCTAAGAGTATTATTATTCCCCTTACCAAGTTTTCACTGTATTTCACTGGCAACTGTTTGTGTTTTCTTGCCATCTGCAGGTGCAATATTTTCCGTTTCCCACTCACATATTTTAATTTCATTTTTATTTCAACCCTTTTGCTGTTGCTTGTTTTCTTTGTCCCTTCTTCTGCGTTTTAGCCAAAAGTGTGGTGTGGGAGCAACATATTTTTGCAAGTGTTGAAAAGAGGTTGCCAGGGATTTAAGTTTTATTTAATGGAGCCCGGGCCAACACATGTTCCTCGATTATAAGTTCTCGGTTCTCTAGAATTGAAAATCACTCGACAAAAGGGTTTTCTCGAGTGCTTTACGAGCCCAAAAGGTTGACTTTCCTCTGCGATCCTCTGGGCATGTGTTGCTAATGTGTTTCGAGTGCCTTTGTCGTGCAATTGGGGTTTTGTGCCCCTTTAAAGGGAAGCATTTGCAAGCGAAGCGGCCTCCGAACAAAAGCCAACCGAAATTGACAACTTTGGGCGCTCACTCGGCACATCCCTGACCCCATGGTTGACTTTAAATTAGCTTCACTTCATTCGCTACCCATAATAAACCACATTCCCCGACTGCAGCTAATATTCCTGTCCGCAGAGAAGGGTGAAATGTTGCAAAAACTATGTGTAGTAGTCGGTCCCAGCTCCATTGCTATTCCTGCTCCAGCTCCGGCTCCGGCTGCGGCTCCGGCTGCTGCTCCTGTTCCTATTCCTATTCGTATTCCTATTCCAATGATGTTTGCAACGTATTGACAGTCACATTCGCATAAAAATCACGTAGTTTGACATTTTTCTTGCTGCTCTGCCATTTCGTTAGATGGATTTTTTCCAACTCGAATCCGAGCCGGGATAAAAGGGATGAAGAGGAGGATGGAGCCGGAGGAGCTGGAGGAGCTGGAAACTGGGGGCAGGAGCAGCTGTCACGCAATCAGCCCGAGCGCAGAGCCAACAAACTGATAACTCAATTTTGGTTAGAGCAGGAAAATTGCTAACAAGCGAGCCATAAAAACTGTGGGAGGTTGCATTTAAAATTTCCCATTCCCTGCACATTTTCCGGCACTCGCCGGTAAATTATACAACAATTTTCGTAGGAGGTCGGTCCACTGGTCTAATCATCGTCCTGCGGTTTTCGCCCAGGATCTGGAGCAGCTCCTGCTTCTGCTCCTGCCTCCATTCATAATTGCGTGGCCAAAAAGTTTCGTTGCTCGGCAATTGTGTCAATGGCTGCCGTGTGGCATCAACGAGCCCAGGACATTCATTTGCCTGACGAACGCTGTTGAACACGTTCCACTTGATGCGGATTTTCACACTGGCCAGCCTCCAGTTCCCTCCATCTCACCCCCAGACCCAAGTCGGGCCAGACAAGTCCCACATCCGTAGCCACCAACGCCGCCGCCACCCACAAACACATGGCACTGAGGCGGCTCCGAACGCATTACATTGTAAAATTGGTTTTTGTAAATTGTTTGGACACAACATTTATTTCCATTTAAATGCGATTTGGCTCGGACTCGGTCCCATCCCAGTCCTTGTTCAATTTTAAATGAGCATGCAGCTGCAACTGCCACATGCCCCCCGACTTACCCATGGAATCTCTGGCAGTGTCCCTTGAGGTTTTTGGGTTTCGGTACGAGGTGTTTGCAGCGCTTAAACGAATTGTGTGAATAATAAACGCAACACTCGGGGGCATCAGAGGCAGAGGGAGCATCGGCTTTGGATGCTCGGATTGGGTTGGGAGATTCTAGGGGGGAGGGGCGGCGGCTTTAGTTACCCAACAAGGATTAGTGTACGGAGAGGAGCTGGCAATCCTTTCCGGCTGAGTGCAAATCATGAGCTAATTGAAGAGGGTAGCTAACGCAACGATTTGAATGGCTAAGAATGAGCTTACAGGAGGGGGACTCCTGCAGTTTGAGTCATGTGAAAATTTAATTTTAATTCAACGAAATTCATTGCTCATTGCTACCTAAATTAGACCTTCCTAAGCTTGCAATATACAGACATTATTATACCTTTAAATTGAAACTGTTAAGATAATACTAAGGAGAGGGATTTAATGTTAAACTGCTTTTGCTTTTCTAAATATGTCGAGTATATCTTATAAGCTTAACGATTCATTGAATTTCAAATATGAACTTGTATATTCTATATCACAAATCTCTTTCATTTCTCTTGATTAATTTTAAACCCTTTATTTTTTGCTTGGACTCTGCCACGGGGCATTATAATTGTCAACGTTTCTTGATGTTTCAACCGCAAAAACCTGACAGCCAAACAACAAATCGAATTAAGTGGAAAATCAGAGTGAAATCAAGTCACACAATGATTTGTGCCACACCCACGGATAATGAACATCCTGGGCCCCGATGGCCGCAAGGGTTAACCACAAGGTCGGCCAGTCAGCCGGTCGAGAGTGCGGGACAGTCAGGGGTTAAGGCCAGTCCAATGCCGCAGGCCAAACAAAGGGCAAAAACATTTTAATGAGCGCAGATGAGATGACAAAGCCGGGAGGAGGTTGAGGATGCTGCGCAGAAACAATGCTGATTACATGCAAATTAAAAGAAATAAAAGTCAGGCAACGCCTTCAGCTTGAATGTCCAATGTCAAAGGCATTTCTCGTTAGGGCTGGGAATGGGTTTTTCGGAGCAGGAGTGGCAGTGGCAGTGGCAGTGGGAATGGCGCATTAAGTTACCAGAGCCAACTGTATAGAGCTGGAGGAGGTAGTGGCTTATTGCTTTTGGGGACAGGAAAGAAAGTTGGAAGCTGCTCGGCATGTCAATTTGGACATACTTCGGCCATCTGATCGCTCACTCGCAACTAAACGAACTCACGTAGTTTGGCCCCAAATTGCATTTCGCACTCGACCCGCTGCACAATTCGCTAAAAGCCAATGTGCCCGGCTAGTGGAAACGTGTTAAATGCAAACAGAAAAATATATATAGTGCCAATGGAATCCGAGTCCGGCAATAAACCTTGTCCCGAAATGCACTTTTGTCATATTTGGCCAGGCAAATATTCGCCGCTATCCATCTATCTATTTAGCCAACGATGGCAATGGCGATGGCGATGCCGATGGCTATGGCGACGGTGGCACAAAAAACTGGCCACGTCATCGGAAAAAGTGGATAAAGCTCTCCCAGTTCTGTCCAGTCCAATATGGTACGTGATCTGATTCGGCTTCCACTTGGCTTGGCTTTATAGGTATACCTGGTAGTCATGGAGTACTACTAATATATAGTAGGTTTGCTTTACTTATAAATAAAGTTTTGTAATAAATATTATGATAACTAGAAACCTTTTAAAAACATGGGACTTCGGACCTAAAAGTAGTCCACGCTTTTTCATAATACGGTGACCTGGTATTCCTTTAAAAAGTATATATAACACAGCATCTAAACTTGTTTTACCTATAAATAAATTGAGAATACCGTAGAAATTTAGATATTGAATTCAATATTCGTAATTCTAGCACATAAAAGTAGACCCCATTTTGTCATTTTTCGATAACCGGGTATTCAATTGTCGAATAAATACATTTTTAGCTTGTTTTTCCAAAGCAAACATTCGTTTTCGCCTCCTCAACTTTTTTTTTCATCTGCAATGTAATTATGTTCACTTTAATCAAATCAACTGGTAATGAAATTCCAAACTGCAAAGCCTTGCAGTAAGTTTTTTGTATCTTGTCTGGACGTTCTCCACAAATTTGCATATTTCCCCAGTGCTCTGGTTTATTGCGAATTTTTTTTTTTTCAATTTTATACCCAGACATATTGCAATCTATTAACATTTTTGCCGTGCTGTTAATGAAGCCCTTACCATTGCCACAATGCAGCAGAAATATTTTTTGCATTTCATAACGAGACCAAGAAGAAGTTCGCTAAAAAAAAGAATTTAAGTGCAAATGTTGGCAAATTGCTGGAGCAGAGAATTTATTAATTATGTTCATCGTGTTTGGAAGGGGAAACTTCCATACTTGAAAGTAAAAACTCGCTAAAACAAATGTCAATCAGGCTTGTAATCAAGAGGGAATTCCACTCGACACTCAACACTTCCCTCTTGATAGGTCTATAAATTTTCTAAAGTCTGAAGAAACTTTTGTTGCTTTGTGGCAGCACACGGAATAACATTTCGCATTTCGGTAAAGCGGCGACAAAATAATGTAAAATCTAGTCGACAATGTAACTTAATTAAACTTAATTTACAACTCATTAACATATCAAAAAGTTTGCCACAAATCTTGGAACCGGGCTCCATAAAAACCGCAGAGAGTGAGAGAAACATGTAGCGAAAGTTGCCAACAATTGTCGCCGAGATCCCGAGCATTTGAATGAGCGGAAACGGAAACGCACACGCAACCCCCTCGCCACATCCGCCCGCCATATCCTGGCGAAATTTGGCTCACACGCTCGCTTATTTCACTTCCACTTCCATTTCCACTTCCATTCCGCTGAAATGCGAAATACTTACAATAAAAAGGCAAAACCCAAATTGTTCATGACACACAGCAACAAAACGAAATCTATGCTGCACACAGCGAGTGCCACAGATTTTGGGGGTTAGGCAAACCGTGGGGGACTTGGGGACTTGGTCTCGTATTTTGTTGCAAATTTCATTACGCACGCGCCTCCCGCCTCGATACAATTTACAATCGCATGCATAACAAACGGAGCCGTGCGAGTGACAGACCTCCTATATATCCATACCCCCCGACTCTGCTGGCAGTCCAATCATCATCATCATCAGCTCCTCCTCCAGCTATGGTTCCCGAAAACAACCAAGTTCCCTTTTTTGGGACTTCATTGGTAACATTTGGACAAGAGGGATACCCTTTTTGGAACAGTATGAAAGATGAATGTTTCAAGAAGCCGTAAAAAACACTAAACTAACCTAAGAAGGTGTGCAAAATTAGGATACAAAATTGTACATCTTAAAACTTAAACAAATTTTGGTGCTTTAAACTTTTCATTTAATGCTTTTATATGCATTTTTAAGGGCTTTAAAACCATAATTGATGATGGGAGCGAGCTAGGCTATGTTCTGATAAAGTCTATTAATTACGATCTTAATTAAGAAGACAATGATTTTATTTCTAGTTTTTTTATTACTCTACAGTTCTCCCATTTCTATGAGAATTTTAAAATTTTCTGAAGGATTTTTATACTTTTTGAAATATTTTTTATATCAAATTCATTTAAAAACCTTAACATAGCCCATTCAACATACCTCAAGTACATATTTTTCTTTCAATCAGCAAGTCGCATCTCTTTCCATTATTTTATTATTTTGTCTGCGCATTGTCACCGCCCCCTTGTGTTCACTGTACAGTGTACATGACAGTGTGCTTAATGCATTTTGCATCGCATACTTTTCAGCATGCGCACGATGAAGCCAGAAGCTCTTATCCCCTTCCCTCACCCACTCGATGAATGCAACTTATCGGTTTACTGAACAATCTTGCCAAATACATAACCAACTTATATCCAGATATACTTAGATCCATATATATATCTTTGCATCTTCGTTGCAGCTGCATCAGTACGCCTCAAAGTATGCGTTTGGCTATCGCATACGTGACTTCCACACCGGCAACGATTTTGGCCACAAGCAGAACCGTGACTTGCACGGCGTGACACGCGGACAGTACCACATCCTGTTGCCGGACGGACGCATCCAGAACGTGATCTATCACGCCGACGACTCGGGCTTTCACGCGGACGTCAGCTTCGAGAGTGGCGCCAAGCATTGAGTCAGGCCCAATAAAAGCGGCCTAAAGTGCAATCTAGGCTATAAGTAATTGTTAACTTAGTTCTAAGACACCTTACACGATGCTCTAAATCGAAGTGCAATATTCTACATTCTACAGATTCGGTTTTAGTTAATTGAAGGCTCTTTGGCTAAAAAATGAGCCTTCTTCATTGACTCCTTCAAGAGTTCTAAGCTCACTTGACTAAGGATTTTCGCAGGATAAGCGAAAGAGTAAAGTGGCAAAGACACAAAGTAAAATATTCCTGAAATTACAAAAGTTGTCTCAAGTTCTTAAAAAAAAATATATGTTGAATCTAAAATTAAAAGTTTTATAACATATTCCATATTTCCTCCATTTTTCCATTTCTCCACGTTTCCAAGGTCTTCTGACCATTGACACAAGCCAGAAATGATTTCTTATTGAATTGCAATACCACAAATCCTTGAATCCAATTGATCATAAGATCTGTTTATCGATTAACCCGTTAAAAATACCATTAAAATCGCTTCAAGAAATTCTTCACAGAACATACGCCCCACAAATGGCCGAAGCCATTGTTCTGCGGCTTCAACCAAATACCAAATAATGACATTCTACCAATTCGAATCGTGTTTAAATGCTAACTTAGATATTAAGTAATTTCCATCTCATTTATTGTTACTTGGGCGCCGTGTCGCTTGAATTAGTTGTAAGTCGATGGAAATGCAATTAAAATTAAGGAACCGATGCGTGTGCGAACAATGCCAGGCAATGTGTGTGTGTTCAATCGATGTGCAATAAAATGAAATCAATAAATTACTGACAGTAGCACGAGGAGGAGGAGGAGGTGGTCTCTGACAAATTGAGCAACTTTCAGCATTTCAGAATACACAGCAAGGCAACTGACGGAATCAATTCCGAGGCGAACCTTCGAATCGGAGATGCGCTCTGCTCCATAATTGACTTTTAAATGTTCGTTATTGTGCGTTTAACGCACTGGACGAGCAATTATTCAGGCCTTGCCAGTGACCTTTCGCTTCCGGTTGGCCTTTTATGACTGTGGCTATATTATTTTACTTACCTTACCCAGGCACTCCACACTCCTCAAACCAATTTTGATCTGCTCAACGGCTTGTTTGGCTTTAATTAAAATTGTAGCAAAATTTCTTTCTGGCGATCTTCGCCCAACCATTTATCATCGCCGAAGGTCAAGGTGTTGCTGCATGGCTGCTCTTGGCAATTTGTATGGCTTGTACTCTAAAAATTGTACTTTAATTAATTTGCTGCTGGGAAAATCGATCGATCGCAATGGCGTTTTCTGCCATATCATCTTCATCTTCATCTTCATCATCATCATCATCGTGACGTACTTGGCCCGAGATTCCGGGCCAATGGCTTCCAGTTTCGATGTCATCGCAGATACAGGTACAAATACTTTACAGATATGTATATATATATAGAAAAATAATTCCAAACAGATCGAGAATCGCAATCACATGTGGGGCTCTCTGCTACCATTTAAAGTTCAATGTTGCCAGCAATTGCAGAAACAAATTTCAGTCTTGGTTACTTCTGTGTTGTGTTAGCTTGTTTCTGTCGTTTTGCCAATTTGTTTGCCACTTTCCGACTCCGCACCTTTAAATTGCTTTTGCCATTATTCTCTGTGTTTGTTCTGCTTCTTTTTGGCTTTGCATTTTTGTGTTTGCAGCGGATATTGTTATGTTTATTCGTCTTTTTTTTTTTGTTGTCTTTTTTTTTTAGTTTTTTAAGGTTTCGCGGTTTTTCATGACGAACTCATGCAGAGCTCATTAACTAATTTAAGTGGCCCGCCTGAACAGTGAGCACAGTAAGTCTTTGGCTGGAAATATTTATGGTTTCACCAGAAAATTATTGGTTGACTGTTCTTTCCTCTGCTGAATAATTTATGAGATTTATGAAGAAATCAGCAAAGGAATTCAGCAAATTAAATATTTTCAAGAGGTGTGCCAACTGACATCCAATTTTGTCGCAATGCAATTGTGAAAAAATGAGGGATTAATCAAAAAGCTATGTTATTATAATAATAAATCTGTAGAAAGATATTCAAAGATATGAATATGAATTTAACAAAGCGAAATTGATTTTAAATTTTGTTTTGAGGACATACTCCTTTAATATTTATCAATTACTCCAACATATTTGGCCACTGTAACATCTCGAAAAAAATTTGGAACATGATCTTTTTGTGGTTCTAATTTTCGATAGTTTAATTGTTTTGACATTAAATGGTATGAAAATGATTCGTCGCTGAGGAGCACCTTTCAGAATCGCTGAATCCGTTCTCCTTGTGCAGCGGGAGTCTGCGGTTTTATGGCTCGGATCGCCTTGCCAGGTTGCTGGTTGTATCTCACCAACTTGATTGACATTAATTGCCAACGCGACCGGGCCAAGAGATGCACACGTCGTCGCTCACATTGCTGCACTTCTTATGACTTTTGCTGTGCAATTTTTTGCCTTGTTTTTTCCGCGCTTGGTAATTAAGCAATTCTCGAGTTAATTAAAACAAAAGTATAGAAGAATGCACAATTTTGACAAGATTTATGTGGGGCGACCTCAAAAATAGTCGCTGTGGTGATGGTGGTGGTGCAATTCATGAGAACCAAGTGCATTATAATTATGGTATTATATATAAATCAGCGCATTAGACGTGGCAAAAAAGCAGCGTCAAAGAATCGCAGAGAAAAATTATATTCCACGCCCTCGCGACTCAAAAACTCTGGGACCAAGCCCATTCTCAGGCCCCCAAAAAGGCTGAGAGGGGGTCTTAAGGGGGCAAGAGCGTTGAAGTTGAAGTTTTTGGCGACGATAATAAAATCCCATTTAAGTTTGACGATAAGTTTTGACCATTAGTGGGCCGCCCAGGGGCTCCGCGGGGGCTGTCAGTGCGAGTTAAATGCCTTGGATTTTCCCTCTGCTTTTCGCTTATTTTATTTTCCTCCTGATTTTTTTTTGTGTTTTCTGTTTTTGTAGCAGCAAGTTATGGAGCCAACTTTGGTGGGCTCACATTGCAATTGATAAGCAATGAGGGGCCTGCTTAGGGGCGTGGCTAATGCCGTGCCAGAACTTGGCCCAAATGCCATCGCCCCCTGTTTTTGATAAATGTTCCGCCGATCGAAATGTGCGAACATTTGGCAGCGAGAATTTGGCAAAGCCATTTGCAGAGTTTTCCCAAATTCATTGGAGTCTTCTTCAGCTAAATGCCTGTCTTAATTGCCCATGGCTAAAAGTCTTAGCAAAAAAAACTAAAAGCTACTTGAACTTAAGTACAAACTGAGAATGTAGATCCGGAAATAATAAGCTAATTCTTGTTCCAGGTGAACTTGTGCCAGTTTAAGATGTACTCAAGGGGTCAGCTCATCACTGCAAGTTAGTTTAGTTTTTAGTTTCTTTGACTATTATTTCCTTAAGTAAACTAATTGTTAATTAAAAAATAATTATCATCAAAAACTGCAGCGTAAAATGTGGTCTTTAACTTCTTTGTTTAAATCTTTTTTAAGCTGCACAAGTATTATTTTAAATATATTCTAAATTTGTAATTACTTAATTTTTCTAGAGTATTTACCAGAATATTTCTTTGAGCCGTTTTATAGAAATATATTGAAATTTTTTTGAGTTTTTAATGATTTTTGAAGACGCAATTTCGTATAACATATTTTAAAGAACATAGGGAACTAATGTTTAATTTATTTACATTAGAACATTTTTCAGTTATTTCCTTGACCATTCTATTATAAAAAGTGAATATTGTATGATTTATCAAACTTTGTACACTTATTATTATAGTTTTCCCAAGGCTAAACAGACACAAATGTTTTATTCGTTCATTTCCCTATAATATTTATTAGATATTCCCTTGACTTTTAATATAAGAACTAAATCAATTAAATTAATAGTAGTATTTTAATATTTTCTTGAGGAAGAAATAGAAATTGCGTCGAAAAAAACAAAATCAAATATTGAATCAGTTTACTTCCTTAGAATATTTATAAAGCATTCTCTCGAACTTTCCAATATATAAATATTCTACGAAAACTTAGTTTTTGATAAAAGAAATAGTAATTTCATAGTAATTCTACGATTTCTTACGTAATTTTGATATAAGAGGAATAGGAACTTCGTTGTAAATATTCCCAAATCAAACCGGAATCAAAATCTTAATTATCTGATTTCTTTAAAATATTCATCACATATCCCCTTTGTACCGTTTTCAATATAAAATGTCAGTGAAATCGGGTATTAATCCGGATTCCCTTTAATTGAAACCGTTCATTAGCTCGATTTAAATCGCATTTAATTAACTGAAAGTTAATAGCTGTCGTCTGTGCAGGACGGCTGTCTAAATCAGAGATGTCCTTAGCTTCCGTTGCAGGCAGTTAGTCGCCGGATGGACAGCAGGTGCCACCAACACAGAGTCTGGAACGAATCCTTATCCGGATCCGTGCAACTGCAGCCATTGTGTCCGTGTGCCTCGCAGGCAACACGTAAACAAGTCAGCGCAGGTTACGGCTCAATCGCTCAGGAACTGCAGTGGGAAGGGATTTCGTTTTTTCCAGAGGATAAGGGATTTTTCCTTGAGCTGGCTAAATAAAAATTAACAAGGATAAATGATGCGAAGAGGCAGCCGATGTCAGAGAGGATGTGGGTAATTGTCTAGAGCAAGAGCCAGTGCTGCCCTCCCCCATTATTTCCCAGTGTTTTTGTGTGTAAATTGATTAAATGCAAAATTGGAATATGCAAATGCAAATGCACACACCCTCACACCCATCCTAACACACACGCGAGGCGCCTTGGACTTGGAGTTGGACTGGGCGTGGCCCAGAGAGGGGCGTGAGCCGAGATGTGATTTATGTTAGGTGCAAAGTTTTCCACAACTTTTTCCTCCACCACTTCGCCAGCCTTGATTTTATTCTTCCCTCGGCTATTCCTTCCTCCTTTTTTTCCACTTATTTTTGGGTGCAATGAACGGAAGTGCAGAAGATGAC